ACATTACATATTTATTTACAACTATCACTTGCAGTGCTCTCCCCTGATTGGGAAACGAAACAGCTGTTTGGCACTTGCAAGAACAGGGCCTATCCCTCTGACTGATCACTGAAAGAGAGCAGATTATAGTGTTTACTCTGGGATTTCTGAAACAGAGCTGACCAGTTGTAGGCAGAAGGAAAATTATTTCCCAGGAATCTTCTGCAGTAGAGATTACAGAGATATGGGAAGGAGCGATGAATGAAAGAGCAGACTCTTGGGGCTCAGTGGCATTTGTCACCAATTTAATGGGACTGGGCAATTGTGTGATTGGTACCCAATTTCAACTGTGCTGTTTACTTGGTCACAATACTCGCCGTTGAGTATGCAATGGTGATTATGCAAGTCTGTGGGGTCACTGCTGAATTTGCTAACTAGTTGGCCAATGAATACCTCAGAGGAAACCTCTTTAAAACTGACTGTATATTCTAAAGTGGGGGGTGGGGGGGAACCTATCTCTTTGAAGTTATTTTTGCCACTAATTCAAATAATAAAAACATAAAATATAAAGCCTCAAGTATTTAAATGGCTACTTTGTATTATAATCTTGCTTGCAAAATGTAAAAGAAAGACTTAATCAAGTGTATTTGTTTGTTTTTAATTAAACAGATGTAAGGCCAACACTTTTTCTTGTATTTAACTATGAGAACTATAAAGTACATGGTGAATATCGGGTTTTTCTGGCATTGACCACATAATAATGTATTGCTTATATGTGAAAAAGTGACTATACCTTGGGGGAAAAAATAAACTTTAAGAAGTTCACCCTTAGTGTAACTATGTTAATATAAGGGGAAACAGTTGTGTTTACTCATAGCATATCTAGTTAACAGTGTGTGAAGTTAAATTTTAAAATCCCATACGAATACTTTATTGCATACAAATGTGGTCAGTTAAAACAGATTTCTTAAAGCATAGCAGATTTAAATAGATTTGTGTCAACATAGCTTTCCAGTCCCCCATTATCATCAAATTATTTCCCATTATCTTCAAGGACAAATGGTTTTGCACCCAGTGGTAAACACAGTTTAGCACTCTGCTTTGAAGGGTAGGGGGTTGTTTGTGGAGTGCGGAAATAGCTTACCACTTTAGTTCATGGAATTAGACATTTTTGAATAATAGCCAAAGGGTTCTTGTCAGTGTCAGGAATTTACTGAATACACACTTTCACTTTTCAAAAGTGGGCCTGGAATCAAACTCTTAATAGAATGAGATAGCAAATCTGTGTCATAGGCTCACAAATGGATTGAGGGCTCTTCTTAGGATTTCCACATACTAGGAATGTTCAAATGAGTCAATAAAACTACACTTGGGGCCAACCCATCATGGTGGGAAAATGACCACTTAAAGATGTCCAACGGAGCCCTGGCCAGTGTGGCTCAGTTGGTTGGGAGCACCGTCCCGTACACCACAACACTGTGGATTCGATTCCCAGTCAGGGCTCATACCTAGGTTTCAGGTTTGATCCCTGGACACATACGGGAGTCAACCTATAGATGTTTCTCCCATCGATGTTTCTCTCTCTTCCTTTCTCTCTAAAAACAAACAAACAAGCAAATAAGTAAATAAATAAAAGCTTATCAACAGAAAAGACAAGCATGTTGAACTTGAACTAGTGATGGAGAAACTAGGCATGGGGCAAGGCATGGCAGCATGGTTTCCAATGGGGTTTTCAACTTAACAGTGATGATCAGACAGGGTTCTTCCTGTTACATACGTTGTGACCCAGAACAAGTCACACCATTTCTCTAGTGAATTATCTTATCACTGCAATAAGTACAATAGCTCCCTGTACCTCCAGTGGGGAGGGAGCATTTAATACAGCTGTCAATGCTACATTTATTTCTGTGATTCTTTGCTTAAATTTGTCTCCTTTTTTAGACATTAAGTTCTTTTACATTAAGGTTCTGCTTATCCTTACATCCCCAGTACCAATCACAGTAGGGTTTGTTGAATAAGCCCTTGCTTCATTGGAAAATTATGAAGGGCAAATGAAAAATGAGTGTTTAGCACTGTGCCTGCACAGTAATCTTCGGTGCAAGTGAGATACCATTATTACGATTGTTTTTATTACTGTTATTATTTGCATTAGATCAATGCCTGTTAAATAAAACAATAAATGCCAGGCTCTTTCAGGATAAACTCACCAGACAATTCGAATAGGGGGACGCTAAGAAACTACATTTTATTAGTTCAATTTGCAGTGGTCAGGCCTAAGGAAATCACTAAAGTTTGGGTTCTCACCCAGAATGGCAACTGATCAATTTACAAAGGAAGATACATTCTTCCCTAGGGATCAGGAATTCCTGAAATCAAGGTAATTGAAACACATAATCCAGTGGTTCTCAACCTTCTGGCCCTTTAAATACAGTTCCTCATGTTGTGACTCAACCATAAAATTATTTTCATTGCTACTTCATAACTGTAATGTTGCTACTGTTATGAATCATAATGTAAATATCTGATATGCAGGATGGTCTTAGGCGACCCCTGTGAAAGGGTCATTCGACCGCCAAAGGGATCGCGACCCACAGGTTGAGAACTGCTGATAATCAATAATAGAAGGTTGTTTGTGAGCTCTGAATCAGCACAAAGGACATTGTCTACATTGTCTTGTGGGATGTGGGATACAGGCTGGACATTCACCCTGATTTCACCATTCTGGTACCTTTCTAGTGGTTGAAAAGCCCAAATAGCCCAAATATAAGGCCTCTCTCTCTCTCTCTCCTTGACTTTCTCCCCCTACCCTTACAGAATGAAAGATGTAAGTGCTGACTGATGTGTCCTATCTATATCTAATGTAATTTTGAAACTGAAAGGGGCCTTGGGGAACACCTATTTCCCTAAACCTGACACCTGTATTATAGATGACAGAAATGAGTCTCAACCAAGTGGCTTCCCCACGGTAACATAGATTGACTGTAACAAAGCAAGAACCTGACTCAAGTTTCCAGTGTCGAGTTCTCCCAGGTGGCTGTACAGTTTTACCTAATATTCCCTATGGGGGAATCTTCCTAGGACTGGGTTTATCCATTGCATGATCTTGGCTTGTATGTAATTAGCTGGTATTTTTATTGCCTTAAAGAAAATTACCTCTTTCTAAGCTTAAATCTTACACTTGTACAAGCCAGCGTCGGAAAGGATGCAATAGTATTGTTAAAGATTGGTAGGCTACCTCTTACTGTCATGAGGAAGTACAATTACTTAAAGTAGATGATAGAATAAAAGAGTATTAGTTGTTAAGACTAGATATTTTTCTAAATAAATTTTAACTGAGAGTAGAATTTTTAATAGCCAACAGGGTATGGGTCAAAGGCTTTTGTGATTATTAATAGGTTACATATTTCTAGGTATTTGTTTCTAGTGAAAATTGGGATTTTACCTTCTGGAATTGTATTGATTTGTGTGAATGTGTTTAACAGAAGTCTCTATAGAGTAAATATAGGGCACAAAGTCACTGCAACTTATATAATCAGTTCACTAATAAAAATTTAATATTGTAATAAAATTTGTATGCTCACCTATCAGATATTTTATGAAAAATGAAGAGAGAAAAATATGGCATTCACGGCTAAAGTAAGGAGAAAATATTCCCCCCAAAACAGGAAAGTAAACTAAAGTCATGTTCTCTTAAAGAACTGCAAGAGTCATCTGTCAGTTAAACCACAGGGAATTGCCATTTTGTAGGTCAGAAAATGCTAGAATGGTAGCAATTCCTTATGATTAAACTTAGTAGTTGGCTTAGACTTCATTGGTCTTGGGTGGTATAAAGGTGATCTGATTCAAAGGTATGCCATGGAAACTTGGCTCTGGATCTATTTCCACACACTGTCCCTTTGAACCAATTTACATTTCATAGGCCTAACCAAGTTGTTCTTATAGGATTTGGTGTGAATATTTAAAAAAAGAGTGAAGTTTCTCTGCTTTCAAAATGGCTGGAATTCTACATGGAACAATTTGAAACCCTCAAATTATCAAAAACTCAGGAAAAAATAAAAAATCTAAACAGACCAATTACTAGCAATGAAATTGAAGCAGTAATAAAAAGCTTCCAAAAGACCAGGACAGGCAACTTCACAGGAATTCTACCAAGCACTCAAAGAAGAAGCAATACCTATCTTTCTTAAACTATTTCCAAAAAATCGAAGTGAAAGAAATGCTGCCAAACTTATTCTATAAAGCCAGCACTACCTCATTACCAAAAGCAGACAGAGACGTTGCACATACACACAAAATTAAATTACCAGCCATTATTCTTGATGAACATAATGCAAACATTCCCAACAAAAGATTAGTAAACCTGATTCAAAAATACATTAAAAAGATCATACACTATGACCAAATAAGATTCATTCCAGCAGTATAAGAATAGTTCAACATCCATAAATCAATTAACATGATACATCACATTAACAAAATAAAGGATCAAAACCATATGAACTTAGCTATCACAAATAGCACTGCTATGAGCATAGGGGTGCATATATTCTTTCTGATTGGTGTTTCGGATTCTTAGGATATATTCCTAGAAGTGGGATCACTGGGTCAAATGGGAGTTCCATTTTTAATTTTTGAGAAAACTCCATACTGTTTTCCACAATGGCTTCACCAGTCTGCATTCCCCCCAGCAGTGTACTAAGGTTCCCTTTTCTCCACATTCTCACCAGCACTTGTCATTTGTTGATGTGTTGATGATAGCCATTCTAGCAGGTATGAGGTGATATCTCATTATCATTTTAATTTGCCTCTCTCTGATGATCAGTGACTTCGAGCATTTTTTCATATGTCTCTTGGCCATCTATATTTCCTCTTTGGAGAACCTATGTTCATAGCAGCACTATTTACAACAGCTAAGATCCAGAAACAGCCCAAGTGCCCATCAGTAGATGAGTGGATAAAAATGCTGTGGTACATTTACACCATGGAATACTATGCAGCTATAAAAAGGAAGGATCTCTTACCCTTTGAGACAGCATGGAGGGACCTGGAAAGTGAAATAGGCCAGTCAGAGAAAGACAAGTATCATATGATCCCACTTATATAGAGAATCTAAAGAACAAAATGAACTGACAAACAAAATAGAACCAGAGACATGGAAGCATGCAACAGGCTGGCAAATCTCAAGAGTAGGAAGATATTAAGCAAAGACCTTTATGCTTACATGTATGACCCATGAACACAGACAATAGTTCAGTAAAGGCCTGGAGTGGACCTGGGTGAAGGGGGTCAATGGAGGGGTAACTAAGGGGGACATCTGTAATGCTTTCAACAGTAAATATAAATTAGTATATATACATATGTGTGTGTGTATATATATATAAAACATAACAAATATTTTAAAAACCATATGGTCATCTCAATAAAGGCAGAAAAAAATTTACAAAATTCAAAATCTTTGGATAATAAAAACTCTCAATAAAGTCAAGTAGAGGAACATATCTCAACATAATAAAGACTCTATATGACAAATCCACAGCTAATAACTCAATGAAAAACTGTAAGCTTTTCCTCTAAGATCAGGACTAAAACAAGGATACCCAACTACCACCACTTAACATAGCATTGGAAGCCCCAGGCATAGCAATTAGACTGGAAAAGTAAGCAAAATGCATCCTCAACAGAAAAGAAGTGAACTATCATTCTATGCAAATGACATGAAAGCCCTAATGACTCCACCAAAAAAAGATTAGAACTAATAAATGAATTCAGTAAAGTTACAGGATACAGACTCAATATGCAGAAATCTGTTGCATTTCTACATACCAATGACAAATGATCAGAAGGAGAAATTAAGAAAATAATTCTATTTTCAATTGCATCAAAAAGCATAAAATACCAAAGAGTAAATTTAAGCAAAGTGGTAAAAGACCTGTATTCTAAAAACTGTAAAACATTGAAGAAAGAAACTGAAGAGAATATAAGTAAAGGGAAGGCTATATACCTTGCCTGTGAAGTGGAATCTTAGTTGACTACAGAGAGTAGAGCCAATGAGGACATGTAGTCCATGAAAACCTGCAGCATGGATTGAAAGGATTAATATTATTAAAACATTCTTACCATTGAACGCAATACCATACAGATTCAATGCAATCCCTACTGAAATACCAATGACATTCTTTTCAGAATCAGAACAACTAATTCTAAAACTTATATGGGCCCTAGCCTGGTGGCTTTGTTGGTTGGAGTATTGTCCCATACACCAAAAGGTAATTCATCCATGTTTCTCTCTCACATTGATGTTTCTCTCTGTCTCTCTCCATCCTTTCTGTCTCTAAAAATCTATACCCTAGAGTGAGGGTTACAAAATAAATAAAATTGATATGGGACCATACATAATCCCCAATAGCCAAAGAAATCTTGAGAAAGAACAAAGTGGGAGGTCTTACATTCCCTAATATCAAACTATACAACAAAGTTACAATTACAAAAACAGTATGGTACTGGCATAAAAACAGATACATAGACCAACAGAACAGAATAGAGAGCCCAGAAATAAGTCCTTGTTTATATGGTCAATTAATCTAAGAAAAAGGAAGTGAGGATATACAATGGGGTAAAGACAGTCTCTTCAATGCATAGTGTTGGGAAAACTGGACAGATACATTCAAAAAAATTGAAATTGGACCACTTTCTTACACCGTATACAAAATCAATTCAAAATGAGTTAAAGGCTTAAATGTAAGACCTAAACCCACAAACTCCTAGAAGAAAACATAGGCAATAAACTCTTTGACATTGCTCTTAGTAATATTTTCTTTAATATGCCTCCTCAGGCTAGGCCAGCGGTTGCCAACTGGTGGTCCACGGACCACTGGTGGTCCATGAAGTCGGAAAGATTGTCAACCTCTGGGCTAGGCAACAAAAGAAAAATGTAAACAAATGGGAATACATCAGATTAAAAAGTTTTTGTACAGAGAAGGAAACTATTAACAAAATGAAAAGACAACCTACTGAATGGGAGAAGATATTTGCAAGGAATACATCTATAAACCAGGAAGCCCTCACCAAACACCAAGTCTGCTGCTGACTTGATCTCAGACTTCTCAGCCTATAGAACGGAGATGAATTTCTATTGCTTAGAAACCACCCAGTCAGTATTATTTAGTTATTGCAGCTCTAATAGACAAAGACAGGTAGCAAAGATCATGGCATTATGCACATTTCTAGGCCAAAGGTGAGAGAGAGAGAGAGAGAGAGAGAGAGAAGCCTGCCTGACAGGAATCATGACATCTCTACAAGAAAGGAATCTGGGGAATAAAAGCTCCGATTTACTCTTCCCCCCTCCATCTCCTGTTGGTCTATTTTGCTAAGCCCACCATTAGCCAGAGGACATGAGGGTCTGTCCATGCAATCCCTAAAGGTTGGCTACCTGGTCACTGGGCAGAGTGGAGAAGGGTGAACAGTAGACCTGGGAAGGCAAACGGAAGTATCCAGCACAACTCCCAGTATTTTCAAACAGCCCAGTCAGAGCAGAGCTTTGAATTCTGTAGCTATCGAGTAAGTGGTTGCTAGAGATGCATTAAAGCAAGTCAAATTCATGTTCTTATTAGAAACAGTATGAGTGTATACCTAAAGAATGGGAAGAGAGAGTAACTTGTATTTATTGGGTGTCTGTGCTATCCCAGACATCATTTTGGGTGGTTTGCATATGGCATCTCAGTTAATTCTCAGAAGGACAATATGTCGTTATATACATATGTCACCATCCTAAAGACAAAAACATTAGTATTAAACAATTTTAATTACTTCTCAAAAGTCATATAGCGAGTATGTGACTGAGACAGTATTCAGACCAGGTCTGACTAAATTCAAAGTCCCTGCTCATTTCCCCATTGCATGTAAGGTGCCCATGCTTGTCGATAATTTGAGAGCTGAAGGCTGGCATGCATGAATCTTCGGTTAGTGCACATATATCGATGCCAGGCCACAAGGGTCGGAAATGTCACATGTCTACCAACCAACATGCCCTCAATGCACACTGGTCTAATGTCTTCAAAAATGTGCCACGCTTTTAGAAATCTCACAGTGTATTTGCATATTGCTCTCTCTGCCTAGAATATCCTCTCCCAACCTCCCCTCCCCACCATTTTCACCAATCAAAATTTATTTATCCTTCAAGGTACAACACCGTTGTTATCTTTCTGAAAAACCTGATTTCTAGATATCTTAGAATTAATGGCTTCTCGTCTTTGTTCTCCAAATATCTCATATAGAACATCTATTCCCATTAGGATTTTATGGTAACAATGTGTGTGTGTTTCTCCTTGTTCCTTAGCCTGTGTAGTTGACATTTGTGAGGTTTTTCTTCATATTGTCCTGAGTTCTCTTTGGGGAGGGACCCCTCCTCCTTTCTCCATCCTTGTGGTTGCTTTGGTGTCATTTCTATTCCAACTCCAAGAATGCCCATGTGACCCAGGGTTGGCAGGTCAGAGTACAACTTCCACCTGGACTCAGTGATTGGCTTGGGAATGGGTCCATGACCAATCACAGCCAATCAAGGCTAATCCTTAGACTGCTGCTGGAATGAGCAAGAGAAAGGAGTTGGTGGAACAGATGGCAGGAATCTTTTTCTTTTCTTTTTTGTTTCTCTTTTAATTTGAATCAGACAACATAAAATCTGGAGCCAACATATAGAGAGAACCTGTGTATTAGAGAAGCAGACACAGAAGAAACTGGAGAAGAAGCCAAATCCTCATGGCATTTGCTTGAATCGCTTGATTTACCCAGTGCTACTCCATGTTTTCCTAAAGTATACAAGCTGATACATTTAAGTTTTCAGATACTTACAACTCCAAACTCCTAACCATAGCTGCCTAACAGACCATCTGGTGTATTGGAAATGCTCAGAAGTCATTCACTGAACTAATTAAATTGAGTCCTTGGAAACCTATTTGTGCATGTATCTATGTCTTGAAACCCAAATCAAGACCATCAGGGTCACACTCTTCCATTTGGCCTCAGGACCGTACTTGAAAAGTGTTTGCTACATACAGAGAGAACTCATGCTCTCCTGTCGCACGTGACAATCAGAGGGAAGGTGCTGAAGAATGTGTGGGGTAGCCAGGGTCAAGCCTGATGTTTTCAAGGTGCTGAAAACTTATGATGAGCCTGCTGATCTTTTCAATCCATCTGCTAACCTGCTCTGGGATCAATTGGCACTTTCTGTCTTTCTGTGTATTTGGGGGCTGGGTGGGGGGGAAGGCTGGTGAGAGAGGCGGGGGCAGTGTTTTGAATACTGTTTCCTACTCTGTAGGAAAAATAAGAGTAAGATTTTCCTTTCTAAAATCCTGTTATTTATTTCTCATCCCATTTCATCTGTCCCTGGGCATTCTCCTGCAACCATAGAAGACATTTTTATTTTTATTTTTTTAGTCTCTGAACCACTCAGAATCATTTTTTTAGTTTTCACCTGATCCAAAGCAACGGGCTCACATAAGTCAGACCAGACCAGGGGTGGTAGGTCAGCCTTCCCAGCAATCTGGAATTAGAGCAGAGATAGGGAATGGAGTTGGTTCCGTCACTCCATGTGCCGGGAACTACAACACGTGGGCTTGGGAGCTGTGGGTGGGCATCTCTCCCCACCACATGGGATGAAGAGCAGGGAAGATGAGGCACAAACATGAAGCAGATGTGCAGATATGAGCAGACAGGGAGTGTGCTCCCTGGTGGTTCCTGCCATCCCTCTGGTTAAGTATTCTAGAATTT